AGTGGGAGAACTTGCACAATTGGTGGCTGACTAAATACTTTTTTCCCCCACTGTATATATATATATACATGCAAAATGTATTGTTTCAAATATTTTATGGACAATAAAAATATATTAATGTTGAAAATATATTTATGACAAAATGCCAAAAATATATGAGGAAGTACTTACTGAGAATATATTTATAGAAATATATTTTAAAATCTATATTAGCAATACATTTTTTTATTTCAGATTAATGATGTGTCAGGAACTAATCTGAGTTTAGTAGCAGAAAGTCTGGATATCTTGGCTGGCAAACAGGTAAAAGTTACTCTTGTTTACTTGTCTTGTTAACACCCTCCTGCTCTAGTGAATGACTTGCAAAATGTATTGTTTCAAATATTTTATGGACAATAAAAATATATTAATGTTGAAAATATATTTGACAAAATGCCAAAAAATATATGAGGAAGTACTTACTGAGAATATATTTATAGAAATATATTTTAAAATCTATATTAGCAATAATTTTTTTTATTTCAGATTAATGATGTGTCAGGGACTAATCTGAGTTTAGTAGCAGAAAGTCTGGATATCTTGGCTGGCAAACAGGTAAAAGTTACTCTTGTTTACTTGTCTTGTTAACACCCTCCTGCTCTAGTGAATGACTGAGATGGATGATGTACAGTTATTTGTGTCTTTCAGAGTAACCAAAATATAAAAGACCAACTGCATGGGGAAGCAAAAGATCTGCAAGACATCCAGACAGAGATCACGTCTCACATTATGCCTTTGCTGGTGTGTTAACACAACACAAAAGACAGTACTGTACTGGCTTTCAACTATCATCACAACTATATACCATCTATTTAATTGTCAACACCAATAGACAGAAAATCTTTTGGTTTTGACCAAATAAATGTATTCTGTTTAATCACATATATACTGTATGCTGTAGGCATTTTGTTTTTGTGATGTTGCAAGCATAAAAAACAAACAAACTTAAAATTAAGCAGATCGTCAAAAAAAAGAAGATCTAAATAAATAAGATTTACATGCGTGTCAACCCATTCTGGCAATCATCTCTAATAATATCAAACTGGAATTTTTTTTTTTTTTTTTTTTAAATGAATGTGTTCAAACAATTCACTTTTTCCTCAGCAGACAGAATGCTGCATGGGTTTGTCTAACAGTAGCATACAGTTAGCAGTAGCACACACAGAGATATTTCAGACATTTTTACTAAATGTTTTTCAAATTACATTTTGGAACTATTTTTAGTGCCTTTAGTTAATTACTTTAGATCATAAAATAAAATTTCAAATACATTGTGCAGAATACTCCAATACCTAGTAAACACTTGCATCAAAAAGAGAAAATAGAAGTGTTTCAGCTCTCCAAATACAATTAGCTATGACTGCCCAATATAATTGAGTTTGAAGCTGGTCACTGTATAATAGAATTTAGCTGAACTGAATTTAAAGCAGTGCTGTGAATGCTGCTGCTGAGCTCAGTAGGAATGTAGAGACCACAGGAAGCACATCAGAATTCCCCTCCCTGACCACAAAACCATACATCACTAATGACAGCTGTGACACTTTTAGCTCAGAAAGAGACTTGAAAACGAGTGGCAGCAATACATGAGTCATATTTAATTGCTTTTTACAAAGTTAAAATCCCTGTGATAGCACTAAATACAAGAGCAATCCTGAAAACACATAAGGCATTTAACATGAAATGAACAAATCTAAATTGTCCAATGCATCAGCATGCACATTACATTTTATATTACTGTACATTTTTATTAATGACTAATAATTTTTTTAGCTTACATCTTCCATGGAATTTCTTAAAATAATAAGTACTCCAACGTACGATGACATGAACTGTAGTGTCAACAGAAAAACAAGACATTGTTATGCTAAGAATTTATAAAATAAATGTATTAGTCATCTCTGACCTTACATTAGGATCAGGGTGACAGCATGCCTTCGTGTGATGGCTATAAAAAGGACACATCTGAAGATTAGGAAAAAGAAAATACTGTTTAAAAGACACTATGTTAGATGAAATGCATCAAACCAAGTAAACATAAAAACAACATATTACATTCTATATTAGGAATAATTAAAGCAGTAGTTAAACATATATGTGCATTGCAAGTTATTACTTTACAATTTTAATAGTAATGACCCATAGGGCTGGGTATCGATTCAGATGTCCCGATTCGATTTCGATTCGCAAGCCTTGATTCGATTCTCGATTTTTTTTTAATTACATTCAGTGACTATAGTTTTAATACAAATGCTATTGATATTTCTAAAAGAATTAACAGTAAACATCAGTTTACAAATGGTGAATTAATAAAAAGAAATTAAGAACCACATGCCTGTATTTTAAACCTATTCTTTTTTTTTTGTATAGGGTCCTTTTTTAAACAATAAAAGGGGGCTATAAAATGTTCTTAATTTTTCTGGTAATCAGATGAAGGCATAAAACATTAATTTAATTTATCCTAATCAAATGAAAATTAAAGCCTTTTATTTTTTTGGCAAACAAAGTACTGCACAACAGAGGTTTACTGTTAAAATTAAAAAGAAAACAGATGTGATTATTCCTTTAAAAATAAAGATTTATTAATATTTATTAGCAGTAATATAGTAATAGTATATTACTAAATAGTAATATACTCTGACAGTTTCTTAACGTTAAACTAAACTTTTATTTTGACAGGTTGCCGCGAAGAACTTGCAGCTGCTGTGTATGTGATATAATGGTAGTTTTCTCAAACGAAACGGTAAAATGCTAATGAAGTGACTCTCAGAGCAGCTGGAGATGACATTCGTGTTCATATCAACATATAGTGAGACGGCAGAAGCTGAAAACACCGCGAGCGTCATCCGCGCTTTAGTATGTGTGTAGTAAACAAAACAGTGCACTCCGCCATTCATTCCTTGCGGAAATCATGGCACCTTATGCGTGATATCAAATGCTTCCGCAGATTTATAGTAGTACTATAGCATTTCACCTGAGCATTGTGAATCACGTGTAAGGCCATGATAAGCGCTGAATGAATGACAGGATTTCTGTTGTAACATCGCGCAAGGCAAATAAGGGTGACATCTAGTGGAGAAGACTAATGATACGATTCACTTAATCAGATCTTGTTTTAAAAGTGTGCTAAAATAAATACCGGAAAAGATCGATTCGTGGCTTTTGAGAATCGATATCGAATCGACATCATTTAAAAAAACGATTAATCAAAAAATAATTTATTTTGCCCAGACCTAATGACCCGAAGAAGCTCTGTAATTTTGTTCAGACCATGCAAGGTAAATAATACTTCTTAAAGAGACAGTTGACCCAAAAAAGAAATTGTGTCCTCATTTATTCACCGTCATATCATTCCAAACCTGTATGACTTACTTTGTAGTGTAGAACATAAAAAACAGTCAATCCAGTGAAAGTCAATGGGGTCCAAAGTTTGTTTTGGACCCCACTGTCTTTCAATGTATACACAAAAATAGTTCATCAGAATAAATTTTTTAGTTTCCACAGAAGAAAGAACGTCATACAGGTTTGGAACAACATGAGCCTGAGTAAATGATGACACAATTGAATTTTGTGGTGAACTGTACCTCTAAGAGCTTTTTAATAACAGGCTATGTAAAGGGTCAGACATGATTTGCGAGTGGGAAAGTCAGACCAGTCTGGCTTGACATGTCGCTTGAGATCCAGAGGAAGTCCTCTGCTTGGTTTCCTTCTGCTCAGCATCTCTGAAAAGTCCCTTTGGCTGGCGTGGAGGAGTGAGCGGAGGAACTGTGGGTGACTGAAGGATATCTGCGTACCTTTGGCTCGGTTTGGTCTCCCTTTGGAGAACTTTTCTGAGCAGCGGTTTCAAAAGCCTGATGGTGACCTGGCTGCCGTGAGCCTCGAAAGGTCTTGAGTTCTGTGTCAAATCAGGCAGGTCTTTCAATACAATATTAAGTATGCTCGTCACAGTCATGTCCTCGGGACAAAGAGTCCACAGCAGGTCCAAATAAGGGTCCAGGTCTCTATGTTGGGACACTTCACACAGCAGAGCACTGAAAATCTCTTTGTTCAGAAGAGGGCTCTGCCGGCAGAACCTCTCAGCTGCTTGTGCAACCTGTTCCCACTGGCCTTGCTTGATGAGAATCTGCAACGCTTGCATTATTGCTTTAGGCCGCTCGCTGCACAAAAGCAGCTCCACTTTCAGGTGTTGGTAGGTTCCATTGCAAGGGAGCACCGTCAAGGCCCGTTTATAGAGCGGCAAGCTCTCAGAGCTCTCCTTCATGCCGTAACCCCACGAAGACTTGGAGGACCCGCCAGATTGTTGTTGTGCCAGTTCAAGAATCCTGGGGAGCCAGCTGGGCTGGAATTTGAAGATGGAGTGGCACAAGAGCTCAAACACAGGCACCGCAGTGTGTTTCTGCTGACCGTTGCAGTGAGCTAAGTTCGCTGTGGGTTGCACAGGGCTGAGGATGATTTTCCATAACTCAGCAGGAGCTTTAGATGACAACAAACCCTCACCGTTGCACCTCAGATGCAGAACCGCTTGCATTGCGTGCCAGGAGTAAGTGGGAAAGAGATGGAAGATGCTGTTCAGGTATTGAAGATTTTCCCTCTCTAGCTCACCACTCAGCAGCCGGCAGATCTCCTGCTGCACCAAGCTTTCACAATGGTTCTCTAGATCTTTCTCCGAAGCCTTCACCACTGATGTTTTGATGTCCTCCAGCAAAACAAGACTCCTGAGTTCCGATTCGAGTGAGCTCATGAGCCTTTCTTGACCTGTAGAATGTTTCTCGCCAGTTTTGGTCTTCTGGTTGCTGAGGTAATCCCTGAGGATGGCAGCCAGTGATATGGGCGCTTGAAACATTCCACCGTTTTTGAGCTTCTCCACCGTGAGCTGCGTGCTACTTAGACTTCTTTGCTGATAGTATTTACACGCCTCTTCAAAGACAGCTTCAACCAAGAGTACACTCGAGTCTTCTGAAAGCATTGGAGAAGGCTTCATGTTTTGTATGACCACAAACAGCCCTGTTTCTGACAGCATTTGTGGAGAGTGACTATCCAAAGTGTTTACGAAGAGAAGACCTTCTGTTTTCAGACTTATTCTTTCTAATTCCAGACCACATTTGGTGTCGATTAAGAAGAGGGTCCTGCCTATTGTTAGTGCCAGGATTTCGTTATATATATTCAGGCTATTTTGGGACCCACTAGCACTTAGGCAGTTATCAGGAAGTTTGTATATGTTGTGAAGACTGCCGTCCCTCTTCATAATGCATACCCAACCAGTGCTGAGAAGGAGCAGGAGGTCTCCACATCCAGTTGGAGAGAATCCACAGATATCAGGAGGATTTATGGTGAATAGAAGGCCAATGCAGTCTGTAACAAGTCTCTTGAAGTCAGATTCCTTGCTCGAGCTTTTCATAAGTGTGCAACTACAGGCACTATGCACTTTAAAGCTGTCATGTTCAGGAGACCATGCAAGAAACACCTTGCAAGAAACACGGTTTTCCCTCATATCTGGGAGCAGATAGACCAAATCCCCAGAACTGATGATTGTGTATTGAGGATTATTGTGCAATGCAATTTTCACGTTTCCCAAACTGACACCCCCCTCATTAACTTCTATAGTCTTTTTGCAGATGCAGAACCTGAGGTTGCTGCTCACACTATTGGAGTTCTCAGATGGTGGTCGCTCCTCACACCATATAATGAAATTCTGACACATGCACACCGAAATTACTTTAGCACGAGGGCTCTTACACAGATCTACAGTCTGGAGTAAATGCCAGCCTGATCTGCACTCTAGAAATTTCCAGAATTCCACTCTTCCATTCTCAAAAATAACTCCCAACACAGAGGCTCCATCTTCTGGTTTGCTTTGAGGGATATAAATGACATCCACTATAGGCACATTTCCAGTTAGCACTAAATCAACGTGCTTCTGGCATTGCATGAGATGGGCTCGCTGATATTTGTCATGTGTCATAAGACCACTCTTAGGCTGACGCACAATGACATGAATGTGACGTCCATCTGGACTCAGACGCACATCAGACAGGCAGTTTTGAGAAGAGATGTTGGAGTATGCCTGTTTGAAAAACTCTTTTAGATTCTTTCCTTTCGTGAAATCGCCGAAATCAGTCACTTGTTCCAATGCGAGTCGCGTCATGTTTGCTGAAACGTTGATAGGAATAGGAAGCACACGATGCGCGTGAAAACACTTTCAGTTTGGACCAGCGATCATCCACGATCTCCCTGAAACATGTCCAGTGCTCATTTCACGCGTTAACTCCATCATATGACGCTGTCATATCTCTACAGTCCATAAATCCTACGAAATACTCGTACATTTCTCCTGTGCTGTCTGTTTCTCTTCTACTCCTCCTGACATCACGAGTTTGTTCATTTCCGGAAGCTAATGACCGTGTTTCAATACCCACTTACCCAGCGAGGCGCGCACTCGGACAGCATTATTGTGCAACAGCTCGGTGACAGCCCGAAATCCTGTCTAGGTAGGCAGCTTACTAAGTTTTGAAACACACCCTATGCGTTGTTTGTAGTCTTTTTTTTTTTTTTTTCTCTTTTTAAGGGGGGGGTTTAATTCATTTCCTCCTACGAAATACTCGTACATTTCTCCTGTGCTGTCTGTTTCTCTTCTACTCCTCCTGACATCACGAGTTTGTTCATTTCCGGAAGCCAATGACCGTGTTTCAAAACCCACTTACCCAGCGAGGCGCGCACTCGGACAGCATTATTGTGCAACAGCTCGGTGACAGCCCGAAATCCTGTCTAGGTAGGCAGCTTACTAAGTTTTGAAACACACCCTATGCGTTGTTTTTAGTCTTTTTTTTTTTTTTTGCTCTGTTGAAGGGAGGAGTTTAATTCATTGCCCTGCTCTCTAACCTACATCATATCAGACACAACTTTCTACGAGGATCTACTATATATTTCCTTATAATTACTAATATGTTTCCTACGTACGTTTCTGCTTTCATCCACCTTATTGTGTCTATTGTGTGTGTAAAATCTTAATCAGTTTACGTCAACACAGTCGCATTTTTATTTATTCACAGTGTTTAAATGATATAAATATAGTTACAGTTGTTTGAAAAATACAAACTCGCAACTTAGTGTTGAACTGACAACTTTTTCATTCTGTACAAATGTGAACGCTAAAAAATCAGTCATGACAACGGCTCAGTCATGACGTCAATTTGTAGGCCAACAAGGGAGGCTAATTCGCCATAGATTCCTTTAGAAATTTCCTCTGGAATTTTAGAGTGGTTTTCGATGTATTGGCAAATTAAGGTCTCTGGTTTTCAGGTTTGTTCAACAACATATACTGTGTGTGTTTTAAGGTAAATTGCTAACAAGTTGCTTAATAAGGACTACAACTACCACAAGTATGTGAGATTACGTGAGTGACAAATCGGACAAAAGTAGTAATAGCAATAGTTGGTGCTTAAACAATATCGTATACATAGTATAAAAATACAAACCGGGGAAGAACTAATAAATAAACTAATATAAAACATAATCTGACACTACAAGCTTCGTGACAGAACGCGTCAGAGATGACGCGACGCGGTAAAAACACTTCCTTCTACTCTCGCAAAGGTTTCACCGTTGATACAAATGACAGACATGAACCCTGCACTTTTTAAAGTTTGTAAGTTTTCATAATACATTCTGATTGGGTAGTTTTTGAACCTCAGTGTTTATTAATTATTCTCTGTCTTTATATTCCGATGTCTGATCGCATGTTTAGGTCAGCAGCAGTGGATCGCAAATATGATCACTGTCTGTCTGTTTTCATGGATTGCTTGCACACACGATGCAATTGTTTTGTAAACAAACTTTTATTATTATTATTATTTTAGAAAAGTCTCTCAAATCTGTCTGTGTACCAGTAAAATACTGTGTTTACTGACCATGTGATTAGCAGGAAGCATACTATATTAAGATACTGTGCTATTCGATGCTTTAATAAATTATGCTGCATATTGTACTTTATTATATTATGTTATATTTTATTATGTTATCCTCAAATACTTGGGTGAAACCTACTTACCCTTTTAAAACACTTCCCAGTGTGCTACTGTCATTTCTTGGTCTGTTTAATGTTTGTTACAATATAATCTGACTTTACAGGTCTAGGAATTTAAGTTTCTGTAATACTATTATTCAGACATATGTGTCTCTCAGAATAGATAATCAAGCAGAAACATTGAAGATGTCTGATTCGAGGAGAAGGTCTAGAGGGAGTCAAGAGGAGTCAGCGGGAACATCCAATGGATTGGGTGGGCGGAACAGGTCAGAGAGAGCTTGTGATATGGGTGATGAAGATGATATTGGTGCCGGACCCTCAGGTATTAGTGAGGAAGATGATGATCCAACACGCAGGAGAGAGATCAGGAGCAAGTACAGGGATCTGATCAATCAAGTCCAGCGTGAGTATTAATACTGTTAAAGTTGGCTTCAATGATGCAGTTATAAAGTGTTGTAAGTATATTGTTGAGTATGCTTTTTTTTGTTCACAGAAAATCGTGAGGACATGCTGAACCCAGCTAACAATAAACTCACTGATGTTTTAGAAGAGGCCAACAAACTTTTTGCCAATGGTATTAATTTTCTACGCTACATATTCTGATACCTACAGTACTAATGCAATTCAGTCAATTAGTTGGATGCATGGTCTCGCAGAGCTCTCCACACATACTTTTCATTTTCTATGTATTATGTCTTCATGATTGTCTCCTGCTGGTTTGTTTTCAGTGAGGCAGGCTCGTGAAGCAGCGCTGGATGCTCAACTCCTGGTACTAGCCACTGATCTAGGGAAGGAAAAGGCCAGCCAGCTACATGCTGAAGGCTCTGCATTTGACCCGTCTGCATTTGCAGAACATTTGGTAAGTTACTGTGAGAGGAAAGGCCAGGGCTGTGTTTTCCAAAAGCATTGTAAGCCTAAGTAGATTGTAGAACCATTGCCACCAGCTCATGATGCTTTTGAGAAACGCAGCCCAGATCTTGTATTTAGTGTCAGAGGAGAAAAGCATGCTTAGATTCTCCTTGATTGATTTCTCATATTGATCATTCTAGTTGTCCTTCATGGGTCTGAATCGTTTGGAAGATGAAAGTGGTCAGGATGGGAACTTGGAGGGATATTTACCACAAAGTGCCTGGCAGAGGCTTGCAAAGAGATCCGAGTACTGCTTCAAAACAGCCCCCTCATTCCACTACATGTGAGTATGTCTGTAGTAAGGGTCAGTTTAAGTAAAATTAAACTGAAGGTGATGAGGTAATTGTAAGTGTGTAAGGCTTATATATTGGAAATTCACATTATATTTGTAATTATTTTGCAGGTAATTGCAATGATTTTTATGAAGTTTTCTAAAGAGTATGTTATTATTAAGCTAGTTTTGTGATTCTATTCTTGCCCCTTGTACTGATATATTGTACTGATGTCTTTGTGGCCCACTTCTGTAGTAAATGAAACTATTGATGTAATGGAATCAGTTCAAATCTAAATTCTTCTTCTTTTTTTTTCTTTTAGCAAGGACACATTACATTGATAAAAAGTGACAGTAAAGACATTTATAATGTTGCAAATTATTTCTTTCAAATAAACGCTGTTCTTTTGAACTTTCTATTTATCAAAGAATCCTGAAAATAATGTATCACAGTTTCCACAAAAATATTAAACAGCACTTTTTTCCCCTACATTGAAAATAATGAAAGTTTTCTGAGCAAGAAATCAGCATATTAGCATGACTTCTAATGAGGGATTATGTGACACTAAATACTGGAGAGATGGCTGCTGAAAACTGAGCATTGCCATCACAGGAATAAATTACATTTAAAAAATAATAAAATACAAAGCTGTTATTTTAAATGATAATAATATTTCACAGTATTACTGTATTTTTACTCTGTTTGATCAAATATATGCAGCCTTGATGAGCATAAGAAGACTACTCCAAACTTTTGTTTTGTGTAAAGTTTATGTAATGAGTAAATATAATTTTCCATGATATTTATTGGACTTAAAAGCCTTTATCTTACTTTTATTTACACTAAACCTCTGAATCTGTTTGATTCCACTGGCTACTAAGCTGTACTATATCTTACAAAAGCAGAGCATCTTCTGACAGCCTCATTTTGGAGCATTTACAAATACAATGTGCAGTTTACAATACCTTTGTTATTTTTGTTTAATTCAAGGTTTGGCTCGTTTCTGGCAGAGCCTCCAAAGCCACGGCAGAGAGTTGAAAGACAAAGGAAAGCACCCAGCAAAGAGGCCAAACGAGTGATGCCCACCCAGGTGTGCTCATCATAATGCAAATGCTGACAGTCTCTGGAAATGTTCTTGATAATCTGTCTGATTTTAAGAAATTAAGAAAATATCTTATCATCACAGCTGAAGAAAATGGAAGAATCTCACCAGGAGGCGACAGAGAAAGAGGTTGAAAGAATTCTTGGATGTCTGCAAAAATACTTTGCTGATGACCGTAAGCATGTTACAATAAAATGACAATGAAATGTCAGAGTTAAGCAAAACAGACTATTTCAAAACCCATTAAAAACGACCTTTTCCGGAACAGCTGAGGAACCCATTTCATATTTTGAGTTCGTCATTGACCCCAACTCCTTCTCCCGGACGGTGGAGAACATCTTCCACACGTCTTTTCTCATAAGGGTAAGTTAAGAGGCAACAACAGCTTTGGAGATTAAACGTAAGTCTCACAATAATGAATGAAATATAACCCTCAGGATGGTCTGGTGAAAATGAACTTGGATAAGGATGGGCTTCCTTGTATAGGTAAGATCAAATCCACAGGTCACCATTTTGGTTGTGTTTGTTTGAATGTACTTCGAGATAATATGTATTATGGGTGTATTATAGCTCCAGTAGAGGAAGGAGAGGTAGAGCCTGGTGGAGCTGCTGTCCGACATCAGTGTGTCGTCTCCATCAACCGGGAAAGCTGGAGGGTGAGCACTTTATGACTGCATTTGGTGTATATTTGCAATATTAAAGCAGATGTTTGGGGTCGGAAAGAAGTGTTTTCTGGATTCTAATTGAGATAGAAATTGTTTTCTTCTCGGGATTACCAGAGGCTTGTATCTTTAACAACTATTTGAGACACATTTTTATTTTTATTTTTACAATTTTTCCATGTTCAAATATTTATTTGTATCTATGATCTGTGTCTTGCAGGAAATCATCGATGCCTTTGATATTAAGGGAGCTTTGATCCCTGCTCCAGAGGTTTTGTCGCAGTAAAGCTAATTTGGAGGATAGTTAGCGGCAGCCGCCAAAATATTTGTAAAATAAAAAATACTGTTTTCTTCTTTTTATATTTTTAATATTTGGGATCACAGTTTTAAGAGTTATACCTTTGAATTCTGTATAAAATGTAATAATTGTGTCTAATACAATAAATGTAAAGTGAACTTGCACTCAACATTATATTGAGTGTTGGATTCCAAGTAAAACTAAATAAATATTTTAATGGAAACGGGCAAGGTTCATAACTCTCCACTGTCTGTAAATGTACATCTCTGTTCTTTTTCCTCTGAATTTGAAATATTCAGAGAAGCTGGTCAATTGTGTGCATATAGACGGTGTCTGGATGCTTGAAAATGTCTCTCTGTTCACATGGGATCAATATTTCATAAAACGGGTTTGCTTTGTAAACCATTATGTAAAGATATTCTATTTGCAAGTCAAATCTCCATTTGCACAGCCCTCATACTACAGAGTGTCCGCTTATACTTAATTTAACAAGGTAAGGTAATTTCCTTGAATATCATTTTACTATCTAAGCTATTAAGCCTAACTTTGATTGTGTGTAGATAAGAAACTTAATGCAGATTAATTAAATATGTGCATAGTGTTGTGTTTTTAGGGTTTTGTTTCAATTTCTTAATAGTAATCATTAATCGGGTCACAAAAGTATGTAGTAAGATGAACCTCTATATTTGCCATATCCTGACTTCCCTGTCAGTAATTATGGTTTGATGGAAACGGGCAAGGTTCATAACTCTCCACTGTCTGTAAATGTACATCTCTGTTCTTTTTCCTATGAATTTGAAATATTCAGAGAAGCTGGTCAATTGTGTGCATATAGACGGTGTCTGGATGCTTGAAAATGTCTCTCTGTTCACATGGGATCAATATTTCATAAAACGGGTTTGCTTTGTAAACCATTATGTAAAGATATTCTATTTGCAAGTCAAATCTCCATTTGCACAGCCCTCATACTACAGAGTGTCCGCTTATACTTAATTTAACAAGGTAAGGTAATTTCCTTGAATATCATTTTACTATCTAAGCTATTAAGCCTAACTTTGATTGTGTGTAGATAAGAAACTTAATGCAGATTAATTAAATATGTGCATAGTGTTGTGTTTTTAGGGTTTTGTTTCAATTTCTTAATAGTAATCATTAATCGGGTCACAAAAGTATGTAGTAAGATGAACCTCTATATTTGCCATATCCTGACTTCCCTGTCAGTAATTATGTTCAGATTACAGTTGAACACAACCACGTAGTGGTGAAATAACGTTATTATTTATTATTATTATTATTTTTAATAAAGTTGAATATGTGTGAATGTGATTTAAAACTACTCTTTAAAAATTCTTAATGAGCACATACTCTTGACTGCTGCCTCTAGTCAAGTATATAAATATTGCCATATGGCAATATTTGTATTTTCTTGCGCTTTGTCTGTTACATGTTCATATAAAGTCTGTGTAAAATGCTTATGCAGGGAGGCGATAGAGAGCTGTCCATGTGTGCAGTGGTGCGGCCCTCCATATGCACACAGATTGGTCCAAGCTTGGATTAACTGCCCTGTAGTTTGATCCCACTGACATCTGAAGCCTTTTGGAGGGATCTGCCTGCTGTCTGAGTAACACTCATGTTCACAAGACACTTCTTTAAGCTGCAGGGACTTTTTGGACAGTGTGGTGGTGTAACTCTGCATTCAGGTCAGTGGCTGAAGTTGTGATTTTAGTGTAGTATTGATTTCTGTTGATTTCTTACAGCAGTTTTTTTTTTTTTTTCATTTATGATTTTTCAGTCCTCAGTTAAAAAGTCTTTAGGCTTATTATCTGCTTGTTGGTGTGCTTTGTTTAGGTGTAGGTGCTGTTTTATGCCTTTTATATGCTTTATTTAATGTTCATAAATGGCTTACTGCTTGAAGTTCTAAATCTTTGTATTTCAAATTGGCTGAAATCTTGTCTCACTTAATAAAATGGCACCATATAAAAGCAAAATTATTTATATAGCTTTTAATTGCCATTTACCAAATTTATTGTCGATATCCTCAAATTTTTTCATCTTTCATGAGGTATTTTTACGTTTGTCTTTATTAAACACTTTTATTATTTAATTTGAAGGGAACTACAGTATCTTTTCCTGGTGTCCATTTTAGTGAATACAAATTAGTAAGATATGCATCAAAACAAATAATGTGTAAATAATGCGTTCATCTGAAAAGGCAATTTTTTTAAATAGAATTTTGCTTTCTATTTCAGAGGTAAAGGTTACATTTTTGCTGAAAGCTAATTTTCCTAAGGGATGCACAGACAATTTTGGCCAATACTGATCATTGTTTTCATGTTATGACTGATACTAAAATTCAGTAATATTTAGTCTTAAATAACAATAATGGACTAAAACTAAAATCAGTAATTTGTGTCAATGTCAATTCAGTGTTGTGATGCTTCATTTCGGGATCACGGCATTGTCATTTGCAGTATGAAATATGCATAGCTATTCATTTTTAGATAAATATTTGATGAGAAAGTTAATAATAATTAATAGTCCCTATTGGGTCATCATTATAGGAAATGACTCTTTAAAGGAATAGTTCACCCAAAAATGAAAATCTGATGAGCAAGTGATATAATGCTAAGTTTCTCCAAATCTGTTCTGATGAAGAAACAAACTTATCTACATCTTGGATGGAATGAGGGGGAGCACATTTTCAACAAATTATCATTTTTTGGGTGAACTATTCCTTTAAGAAACCTAAAGGGTTAAATATTTTTCGTTATGTAGTACTGTCACTTTAAGTTAGCTCTAGATAATGGCAAAATTTCATTTTTAATAAAAAACAGGCAAGAAATGAATGCCTACAATTAAATATCCAGTACTGACCAATATACCCATATCTTTATTGATTTCAATACGTTTTGTTTATGATGCAAAAGAAAGCCATTGTAGCATGAGACAGTCTATGCCTCAGTCAAATCAATAAAAAACATTTTTGGAAGTCAACATGAAACTGATGTCGTGACCATCTTTACTACGGTATTGTGACACAGTTTAACGGCATATTGAAAATAAAAAGTGGGGCGGGCTTGATCTTATCCACTGGTTATTGATTGGATGGTACTGAATGGTGGCAGATCTGAATATGATTGGCTCAATAAGAACAAGTTATGACATTTTTATAGTATACATTTTTTATGGACTTATTCTTTATAGATAGATAGATAGAGCTGTTACTTGACATGCATTAAGAAAACAACGGGGCAATTTTGTTTTCCTGCTGACATTAATGCCAGTTAAATAATTAATATTTTGAATTCAGTCCATCAATCTTCATAGGGCTTAATCTATCTCATCCTGACTGTCCTTTATTTTGTAAATTCCTTTTATTTTCTGCCACTGTCCCATTTCACTTGAGTAGCTCCATTGCTTTTCCTGGCGATTTTCTTTTGATGCTCCGTACCGTGCCGTCATGCGTGCAGCTGTTGCTCTTTTAAACTTGCAGATTATCTGTTCTTTTATTTTTCTCGTTCTCATTCGGCTTCTGTATTTTCTGTCCTCCCCCTCCTCTCCCTGCTTGTGTGATGGTCGCTGTTGATAACAGAGGGGCTTTTTACCCACTTGCAGAGTGGCATCTTTTAGCATCGCTGTAAAACCCAATAAAGTAAGAGAGGAATAAATGTCAAGACACATTTTTTTAAAAAATCCTCAGCTGTGCTATTTATATAATTGTGTTATATAACAGAGAATGTGCATGTATGTCATAGTTATACCCTGGGCATTGCAGTAGATGAGGCTTATTCACACACACTCACATACACAGACATATGAGGGTATCCTCGCACGCTTGCAATCACTTGCTCACACCCTGCTTGCATTGCTCAGCGATGCCATTTCTTTGTAGTGGGGATGCAATCCTGGAGAGATTATTTTTGCAAGCCTTGTAGTGCTTCAGTCACCTCTCCTCAGGAGGACATGGAATACAGGATGGGAAGCTGCATCGGAGTCGCACGCAGCCAGGTAACACTGCATCTCAGACGCTTCTGACAGAATGGCAAAATGAGAATGAGTGGGAAGACATCGCCGGCTGTTCGTTGGTTGTCAGTGCAGGCAGAAGAAGGGGATGAGGGGGAGTATTCGTGTTGGACTAGGCTGACGTCAGGGGGATATGAAAGAAAAAGCATGTAATTTTGGCTGTCTCTTCTCCTACCGGCCTGTAGTGGTCGGAGCTTGGGAGACTGAAAGGAGACGGGAATGGAAGGGGAAAAAAGGGGGAGGTGCAAAAAATGCCTGACAATATCTACAGTGTAAGAGGGGAAAGGATGCAGGAAAAGGAATGACAGATATGGATAAATGAAAGGCTGTAGACAATACGCAAAATCGCAAATGAAGTCTAAATTGTGCTGAAAATTGACATGAGAGAATTAAAAAAGGAAGTATGGAAAAAAATAGGAATAAGGAAAAAAAATGAATTGATTCCCTTGACAACAAGCAATGTCTGTGCATTCAATATCTGTTATTAAGTGAAAGCATAATTATCAATAACAATGAGCATTGATTGTTCATAGACAATAAGTGCTGTCTTGATGATTTATTAATACCTTATTCAGCATTCCTTGTCTATGTCTATGCAGTTGAAGTGATTTTGCAATACAGTCATTTATTCATTCATTAAGGATGGGAATATTTGGTTAGTCACTTTATTGCAATAGTTATGTAATAATGTTAATGTTTTAATGCTGTGTATTGGTGTCATGGAAGAGAAGGGGAGTGTTGCATATTTGTCAGCTATTAAAAAGTATTTATTTCAGTGACCAATAAATACTTTGTTTGCTTGAGGCATTTAAAAGGCCAGGTTTCTGTATTATTATGTAGCAAAAGGAGAGAATAATTATTTTGTGAATAAGTGAAATGGTATGGGGTGTGTGTATGTGTAAGAGCGTAAACAGGTGAGGTGAACAGGTAGCAGACAATGGATGATACATAAATAATGCATATATGTATTATAGTGTGCTGTAAGGTTTTCCAATAGGAAACAGTTGTGTGGTTGAACCGAAGTTGGAATTGGAAGGGAAGATCACAGTCTAGGCAGTTTAGCAAGAACGATTGCAGTAGCCATTGAATGGAAGGTCTTGCAGGATGCCTGACAGAGCTGAAAACACTGGTATGGTAAGTTAAATTATTGTGCCCTATTAATCTTTTTTCACCAAGTTATATTGTAAAAGTGTCCTTCACTAAATAGTTGTATTAAAGTTAGAAATACTATTTAAAATAACTGGATCAACCGATCAACCTGTGGTTATACTAAAGTGAGTAAATTGGGTATGAAACTCAGTATTCCACTTTATGTTGCATCTTATTACCCAATTACCCAATGTAAGGATTGCAAGGATTTTAATGGGTACTCTATTGAACGCCTTTTTTATTTGGTCATCCAGCAATGTGAATGCCTACTAGTGACCAACAGTACAGCACCTTGGTGGCCTCCAGTAAAATCACTGTCAGTGTGAATAGAGCATTATATTTCCCAAAAAAAGTTTTCAGCTATCAATACCATTGTAGAAATGATATATTCACTCATGATTAATCTATTAATGACCAAAAGTGTCCAATAGTAAGTTTACTGAGAAAACAAGTAGTATTGGTAGTCATGTCAGTACAATATGTCTGAGGCGACCTGCCCTATGTAAAAAAATTAAACGTCTT